AGGCATTTCAGCCCTCTAATATGCTCTGCTTATATCTCATAACACTGTAGTCTCAGAGTGCTGAGGGGGGCGGAACACTTTAATGGCCCTCTCTGAGATGATACATAACTCTCTCACACACACACACACACACACACACACACACACACACACAGTCCGTGTCCACACCAGCATTGGCCCAAGCTCCATCTTTTGCAAAGGTGAAATGAGGTCCGGGCAAGCGAAAAACAAAGTTTGTGTGCATATGAGTGTGACAGCGTGCATTTGGGGGGCATGTGGGACTCTTTGGGTGGTCTGCCAGGGAGGTTGCCTAAGGACAGACTCCAGCCCCAGTATTTTACACTGTCCAAAGGCACACATGGCCCCTCCAGTCCAAACTACCCCTCCTGGCTCTATTTGTAACACCACCATTACACTCCAGTTATCCTTTGTGTTCATAACTAATTCTACCGATGATGGAGCTGAAAAAAGACAGTGAATGAACCCTTGCTTTACAAGCGCTTCATACGCATAGGCCTTTTCTATTTGTTTTAGGTTTACTGTATTGTAATATTGAACATATTTATGATCAGCTTCTGCATTTAAAGCAAGTGTCTAATGCATTAGCCCATGTCTGCGTAAAGGGCCCATGTTGTACTTTTTCTTCTCTCTTTTTTTTTGCTTATGATGTCTGTGTGGTTTATGTACTAAAACAGTCATGGTTTAACTCTATCAGAGCCTTTACAATTGGTATATGTAAATGACTTCTGTTCTGATTGGTAGTCCAATGATGTCTCATAGCTGATGTAACAGAATTCACATTTAGGGTTCTCCTCCAAGCGTGTTGAGCTGTCCAGTGTCCAGCCTTCACCCTTTACCCTCCCAGCTTGGTAGCATTGTGTGATGTTGGAGACCGAAACATTGGGTGGAGTTGGAAATGACAAAATTGGGTAGAAAATTGTTTAACTGTTAAATTGCTGAACAGAACATACTGTTAAGTTTGTACTAAAACCCTCAGGGACATCAGAAATATTTGGATATCTGGATCTTTTGGAAGACTGCAGTGATTCTTTTGCCACCCAACAGTCAGGAACAGCACAACGTTTAATCGTTTCCAGCTCACATTTTCAGCTCCAGTAAATATAGACTACAGTAACAACACTGTTAATGGGGGTGAAACAGCTCTAGGCTGAATAGGTGGTCATATGTAAATGTTCACAAATGTGACATCGCAACCATGACAAAATTAAGACAGACTGTTTTTTGCCGCTTACTTTCCATGTGTGAGCTGGTGAGTGAGCTGTATGTTTGTTTTATTTTTCAGGAGAGCAAGGTGAAGTGCAGTTTTCCATGATATGAGCTCTTTAATCACAGCATGTTATTTGAGTCCCTGGTCTTTGTATGTTTTGGAAAGAGGGGAAAATGAGGCTGTGTACTGTGCACTACATTGAATTGGAACATCACAGCTGACTGATTCATGCCCCTCCATCCTCACTGTTCAGCTGCCCTCCTTTTTCAAAGGCTATTGATATGTGACAGCAAACTGTCAATCAAACCCCTGCCCCTCAGGGACGGGCTAAAGAGAGCCGTCATGTGGCCTGCGGTTCCGAGAAGAATGATATAACAGCGTTCTTCGATAAACAATGATGTAATATTGCTCTGACTGGTGGGCCATTTGGTGGTTACATAGAGGCTCATTGAAGCAAAGCACAAATTGAGTTTCATAAAAAAAAAAGAAAAATGGCACAGTGTTGTAATCACTGTGGTATTTCTCTTCATTCCATCTGTTTTTTATTTATTTGTCTGTTGATTAATGACCCTCGTGTTTAGTATGCAGGTGATTATTTGGTGTCTGATTGCACGTGCGGCTTTTAAAACATTATTTTTGATTGGTTCGGTGTGACAGCCTGATGGTCTTCACTGCTTAGGTTATTGTGCACTAGGCGAGAATGAAAGATAGAGATTTTAAGTAGGTTTTATGTCTTATTAGCCTAAATTTTCCTAATAATATTGTGTTATTGTTTTGCTATCTGGTGTTGATGAGGAGGATATGTTTCTCTTTTGAGTCTTGGTTATTCTTTGGGTTTCTTCTTTATGCTTTTGGGGAGTTTCCTGTGCTCTTGTCATGCTTGGCTTGATCACTAGGGACTTTTACATTCATTTTTATAAAGCTGCTTTGTGAGGACTGCCATTGTAAGGATCTCTATACAAAAAAAAGTAGAAATTAATCGAAACTGGATATCAGGGGTCAGTAATGTGAACTGAAATCTAAAAATAACAATTTTCTCCTCTGTCTGAACAGGAAACAGTGAGTTTGCAGCTGAAAAGCTTTTTCCTTTAATGTGCAAATGCTAATTGTTTCACTTTAGTAGCTTCTTCATATTCTCACACATATGTTTATGGTTTTCAGGTGGTAAAAAGGTTTCAAAATAGTTTTTGGCTTGGATGTGTAGTCCCAGGAAATGCCTTTAACTGGCGTAGAACCTGTATATTATAGAAAATATCTGCAGAATTTAATCATTGAGATGTAAACTAACTGATTCAGAGTGGTTTGATGTGAAATGGTTCAAGGCAGAGAAAATTACTCTCTCGTGTCTTTACAGTGGTGGTGATGTGAACCAGGTAACGTGACTGTTTTTCTTTACTACACCCTGCATGCACTTCTCCAATATGGATTTAATAAAATACGTTTAATGCCAAAATCTTCACTCAAAACTGATAATCAAGCAAAGACGTTCTAACTATTTCATATAATAACTTTCTGTAGTGTAGCTTTTAGAGGCATTAAACTCTTGAGACGTCTGGTTCCTATCACCACTACTGTGTGACTCTGTAAATTTCTTTAAAATGCAGCATTTCACAACAGACCACTCTGAATGACTTTGTTTACATCTTAACTGTTAAATTCTGCTGAAAATTTGAAAAATCAGTGAAATTCCCCTGTAAAGAATCATCATTTGAAAGGTTCTTTGAGGAACCAAAAGTGCTTTTTTTCCTACATCACTCAAAAGAATCCTTCATCTTTTTTTAATGATGTGTAGCAGTAAACCTCCCTCCGCTTGCTTTTGTTATGTGTTCTGTCTTGTTGAAAAAGGCTGTCATGATGGAAGGATAAAAAGACTCCATTTCACATGGAGTCTGCAGGGAACAAACATAAATATGGCATTTTCTGCTAATTTTAGTGCACATTTTCTGTCTAATTGCTGACTTTAACATAAAACATAAAAACATAAAAAATGAAATACGCCATAACTTTTGCACAGGCCATATTTTCTGTTTTTTTTCCACAATGTATTAAATTCAGCAAATAAACAGTAAGAGTGCATTAAAATGTGCATAAGTGTGTTCTCTGTAGAGGATGTGTAACATGTTTTCACAACACATGTCGTTTAACCTGGGTTCCCTAACTTTTGCATGGGACTGTATAACCAGAGTGATACACACACCAACCCCTTCAGTGACATTCAGATTCACACACTACTCTCCTCTGATCTCCTCTGGAGTAGAAAATAGCTGATGGTGATCTATCTAATGCACTGCTGGGTAGGAGAGCGCTTTCCACAGTGCTGCTCCGCTGAGAATCGTGACTCAGGCTTTGTGTCCTGTGATGTAATAATGTGAATTTAATGACTGTAGAAATGACCTCATAGCTTCGCAAGACACTAAATGACAACCCTGCGCAAGAACGCAATGTTACGTCAGGCAGAAGAGCACTTGGGTTGTACCGCACCTGCTGGCCAAGTAAAACGAATAACTGGCATCCGCTCACAAAGAGGCCACTATAATAGCAGCTTTCAATTCAAGGATATAACTGTATAAGCTGTAAGCCATAAAACAACAAGAATGAATGCCTTGTGTTTCAGAAGTGGCGATCAGATCTCAAAGCAGATAACTTGCCTGAAGATAAGCCTGTGATGAGTTGTAAACATCTATCAGACATCTGTCGAACGAAGAAGTTCCATAGCATAAAATAGCTTTGCAGTTCCTTGAGATCTACCTGCCAACACTGTGTCCAACATAATGTCCAGATGTTCCCAATCACCTTTACATGGCTCAGGAGCCAGATTCACACAAGTTAGAAAAAACTCAGGAAGGATTGTAAAACATACACTGCAAAGTTGAAAAGAGTGGGCCTCGTTCACCAACCGTTCCTAAGAAGAAATTTCTCTTTAAAACCCACTTACACAGTTTTCACGAAGATTCTGACAGTCAGTGTTTTCTTATTTGGGATTTGTTCTTAAGTAGGAACAGAATCTACACACACTGAAGAGCAGAAAGGTGTGAACAGTTCTGTGGTTTAAGAACTTGTCATGAACAAATAAAAAAAAACTTAGGAAGATGTTCTTAAATGCATTTCTTGTAAAAAATGTAAGAAAATTCTAATTGTTTTCATATGTGGGATGTCCATTATTTGTCATGTAGACTTTCAATAGTTTTCCATTTTACACATTACCAGAAATCACTCCATAATTCCTTTAACCCGTTATACAGTTTAATCACATCAGTGCCTGAGGACAGCCAAATGAAGAACAAAACCAAACCAAACATTTAAAAAATATTCACAAACAAGACCTAGAAGTGATGGTGGAGGAAACAACTAACGGGAAGAAAATCATCCTTGATTTATTTTAACTATTATATTTTGTGAAATGTATTAGAAGTTTAAGAGATATTCTGTCAGTACATTAGACAATATTTAAGAACATTTTATTTCCAAGAATACCACTTGCTCTTAAAGTTGTTCTTAAGAGAAAAATTGAGAAAATAATTTAGAAAGTTTTTAAGAAGTTTTTTGAATGTTTGAACATTTATCTAAACTTTTTTTCCTTAGTATGTAGTTAAGAAAAAGGCATATTTAAGAAGATTTTCTTCCTTAAGACTTTGTGAATCCGAAACACTTATGATTTTCTAACGATGCACTGAAAAAAGAGTCCAGTTATCTAAACTCCTTACAACTTTCCTGCCCTACTTAACTATTTTTCCCCTTAAATTTGCTCTCTGAATTAGGAAGAACTAACATTTGACCAAGGATTTATTTTCGTCTTGAAAGACCAAATCATTTGAGAATCATGTGACCACAGAGAGCCGGGAGGTAGAAGGAATTAGAGGCTGGTCATGTTTTCTCAGACTGCAGCGTAAACTCAACTGTTGGAATTTTAAGCCAGCGCAGCCAGACTTCACCTTACCCTGGAGACTTTCAGCTTTGAGCCTTGCCTGCATCTGCCAGCTACAAAAAATACGGTTAATGTGTGCGGACAAGAAATATAAGGGTGCGAGGAGTCGAGAGACAAGAGTCGATCTTGTTGTTTGAGCTGTGATTGTGCTGGATTTTGGAGTAGATGGGTGTAGGAGAGAAGCTCTGCAAGCATGAAGTGGGGCTGAATGAAGACATCATGCTGCAACAGGTAGACTGCTTTGTTGATTTATGGATTTCAGCCTGTTCTGTTGTGTTTGGTGCTCTGATTTACTCCATATATCTGTGTTCCAGCTTGTGCGTAATTGGTTTGTTAGGCCATGAAGGCAAGAGCTGATCCTAGATCTGTTTTCTTGGAAGTAGATTTTTTTATTTATTTATTTATTTTTTACATTGGAAATGTTTTATACGTATGTGTAATAATGATTGGTACGAGGCTGAGAACATCATGAAGTTTGACTGCAGTTTATTGAATGTAAAGGGAGTGTTTCTTGATTTAAAGTATTATTGGAATGTGGTTTTGAATGGGAATGTGGCCTTGAGGCACTACATGAATAGCTCAGCAGGTTCATTTACTTGCACTAAAGGACACCTGGCTTTCTGCTAGTAAAATGTTTATATACAAAGATGTTGTTGGTTTGGGTCGACAATATGATAAAGTTATAGAAAAAGTTCTGTGTCATTCAATGCCAAATGTCAATACCTAAGCAGTTCATTGAGCCAATAAGCATGCTTGTTCCAAAATCTAGTCTGCTTGGCTTTGACTGGCTTTGTTGTCTGTAGTCTGTTGTATTGAGTGAATATACCCCCTTCCAGCAACTCACACTGATTTCTGACTCAAGCCACTGCCACTTTGTTTGTAAATTAAAGGAAGGTATCATGAAAATATCGTTCATAAATAGGCATTAGTATAGTTAACAAAAAAATTTGAACAATACCCAGACCTAACCATGACACTTAAAGGCATTTTTACAAAGCATGATATGTATCATGATTAGCTTTTCTGAGCTTTCAACACGTTAGAACAGAAAACAGTCGTGCCGCCTATAAACAGAATATACTACAGTCATATGCAGAAGTTTGGTTGATTTTCGAAGTGAAAATAAGTTAACATATTCTTTACAGAGAACACACTGCTGTACATGTAATGCACAATTGCTGGGTATTTGCTTAATTTAACATTTTGGTAAAATACAAAACATAAACATATATGTATATATATAATTTCTATTGTCAGAACAAAAACTAGTATATCTAAAAAGTTTACAGGAGAAGTAGAAAAAAATACTTTGCTGTTAATGTAAGTCAGTGGAACCAGAGTCCAAGTAGTTTTGGGCCAGTTGTTTTGGTCAATTTATTATGTAATGTACACACAATGTAAAAGGCTGCAGGTATTTTCAAATCATGTCCAAAACTAAGGAGGTTTTGTTCTGACAGCAGCTATATAAATGAATGAATGAATGAATGAATAAATAAATGTGTGCTCTGTAAAGGAAGTGTTAACTTTTTTCACTTACAAAATTAACAACGTGAAACAATTAGACTGGGGTGTTCAAACTTTTGCATACTAATTTAATTCAACATGGTTTGCAAAAATGACCCTTTAAATTACAATCAGAGAGGAAAAAATGTTGCTAAAAATGAATGAATAAAATAAGATGATGTCATAATGGGCTGATATCCAATCAGCTATTTGTTATTGTGCAGTTAATGCAGTTACTGGCTGTTCACAGACTCTGTAATTGGTCTTTTATGACACATACAGCCGTTCAGTGTTCTCGAAGTTCTGACAGCACCGCTCTGAAACGCCTATTCTGACACCATTTATCACTTTAATGATAACTTATCATCATATTTTGTGCCCTGTTGCAAATGCACACATACAGCTGTCCTCTTTTTGTCCAGTTCAGCAGGTTCTCACTCCTGTATACCACTTATTGGTGCTCTTTAATGTCCTCAGTCCACCATGTTTGCTAGAAATGTGAATCAAATCAGTGTGACACTAAACACTGCACGCCGTGTCTCAGAAACCCACGCAACTTCATTCTTCATTCACAGGGTTTCTGGCTTAGTGCTCTGCTAATGTAGTCTGAGAGAGGAGAAGCAGGCCGGGCTCTGAATAATGCCTGATTTGATGGCCATGAAATTGAATCGGGCTTGTTAAACACAAACATATGACCATTCATTCCCCTGTAATGGAGGACGGGCAGATGAGACTGTAGAAGGATTTTCATTTTTTTCTGGGCTTGGGGTAAAAGGAGACTTCTGAATAGCAGAGGAATGTAGACATTTTCAGTGACGTTTCGATGGGAACGATTAAAGGTAAAGTTTAAAGGGATGTTTCCAATAAAAAAATGCTAATGTGGATAACAAAAGAGGAAAGCTTACCAATTAGCATAATCTAATTAGATGTTGGATGTTATTTGTTAGTAGGAAAGTTTAGCGTTTAGTGTTTGACGCTTATATCTTTAGCTGGATATCAACAAAAACATTTGTTAAAACTGCAAACAAGTCCAGTTTCTTTTTTGCAAGCCAGTCTTCAAGTCAGATGTGTGCTGTAAGGCAGTGTATTTTCTGATTTATCTGTGTTGGTTGCTGTAGTAGCGATATAGATTTGGGCATGCTGCTTAGTGTCATGCTCATCTTGGGGGGTGGGATTTGACCTCAGACACTTGTAACTTGATCAGTGTCCAAAGTGGTTTGTAAAAATGTGAAACTAAATTTTTGAGCTGTTTGTAATAACAAAGCCAAAGTCATAGCCAAAGTAATATTTTCTTGCAGGTCTCGTCACGTTTAGTTCCTTAACCCCTCTCGGAGCACCTGCATTCTCTTTTAAGGAACACCTGCCTGCTTTTGGTGCCCTGACAACACCTGGACCTACACAGGGATTCCTCATTTAAGTACAGCTAGCCTAAGCTTACTCAGACTTGGTTATGAAGTTGTGGTTATTAAAGTTAGAGCTTGACATATTTGTCAGAACCTGGCGGGACCTGATTGTCTGTATCTGGGTTGGATATTGTTTTTCAAACATTTGTTGGGGTCAGGTTCTGTCTCAGACTTTTAATGGAATCTGGTCTGCATTTACCCATATTTGGGCTTTGATTAATGAATAATTTAAATGAAATAATATAATTTAAAGTTAATTTTGAATAACTGATAATTAGGCTAGTCATTTTGTTGTTGTGTACTGTTGTTGTGATGACTGCTGTTATTGTCACCAAGATAACTTTACAAGTGCTATCATCAGGAATGTGGAGTTTTGTTGGATTTGAGTCAGTTTGGGACAGAATTTTGGCGGGTTAGTACGCATAACTTGGTGCTGTGGGTTGTTCGGCTGGGCTCGAACCGAGCTTAGTCAGGTTATAGTCAGTATGAGGACTGGTTAAAGCTCTGATCAAAGTGTTGCAGTCTCTGTACGGGACAGCTGGCAATCAAAATTGTAATAGAAATTGTTAAGGATGCATGATGGTATTGGATTGGATTCGATGGACACTGTACTCTGGTACAGCAGAATGTTTAGGTGATGCTGGGTTACAGTGCTAGAACATCTGCATTTTATTCACAAATGTATTTCTCTGTAAGGCTAATCCAAGTGGATTAAATCTTAATTTCTGTAATTTATATGGTGTTATGCAAAAGTTTGGGTGCCCAAATTACAGGTTTTGCTGATTTTCTAAGTGAAAATAAGGTACAAATTTCATCTACAGAGCACATATTGGGAAAAAATGGCCTGTGAAAAGTTGACACAATATATATTATTTTTCCCAGCAAATAAGTAGAAATTACGCACAAACATTTGCAGAAAAATGTCATATTTAAGTGTGCTCTCTGTAGAGGGTGTGTTAACTTATTTTCACTTAGAAAATCAACAAAACATGTCTTATGACCCTGTTTAAACTTTTGCAATTGACTGTAAATTATAATATTTCAACATCAGCTTTGACAAATTTGTACAAGAAAAATATTGGATATCGGCATCGGCCCCAAATTCCCATATCAGTGCATCCCTGCACATTGTTACAAACGTTCAGCTCCAGTGTTTTGGGTGAAGTAAGCCTGTGCTAAGCTGATGTGTTAACTTCACAATTTCCAGACCTTTCTTTGAACCTTTAAATGTGCACTTGATGACTCTGCAAACAGAACACGACCTAAATATTTAAATTAAGAACCTGAGTGACTTCTTTACCCCCCTACGCTCAACAGAACCCACACGTAGCCTTCCCTGACTGGGCTTTTTCTGGCGCAACCTTGACATTGTCCTAATTATTTGTTTTATTTTTAGAATGCAGAATGATCTGTATTTCCCCCTCTCACTCTGCCGCCGCTCCTCAGTGGGCTTTATCTTGACAGCTCTATTTCAGGAGCAGACGTGACAGAACTAATCGTTCCTTCTGTGCCTCGTAGTTGAAAAACTGAAGGTTTCAATAGCGGGTAGTTTGAGCCCGGTGGCCTCGGCGGGGCTAAATTTAGCAGGTGTTTGGATGTGTGATGGCAGGGGTAGCATTATGTAGTAGTAAGGAAGTACACCTGACTGCTGCAGATAAGATAATGCTATTGAGCAGTTAGCTTCTGCTTAGCTCTCAGTTCAGCCCCCTTCAGCCTGCACAGTACGGGGCTGATAGAGGTGTATGTGTGTTTGTGTGTTTAGAGCTGGAAGCTGAATAAACAAGGGTTCTAATGAGTGTACAGATGTCCAATGTGGATGCGAACACACGCACAGTGGATTTTTACAAGGCCATTTTCTTTATAGGCCCTCAAACTCTAAAGGCCTGTATGTGAGCCCACACTTTGTTTCCTCGCTCTAACAGCTTCATAACTTAACAGAAATCATTTTATAGCAGTTTATAGCAACTTCAGTACTTCCTTTAACTTGAAAACAAATCTCCACTTTTTACAATTAAACTTCCAGCAGTTAGCTGGCTGGCTAACTAATCTAAGCTAAATAACATCGTTGTTTTGTACTATTTTCTTTTTTTAATTTGCTATTTTAGTATAACAACCAAGACAGCTCTTTATTAAATAAACAACCGTTGCTTATAAGTTATAGGTGAGCTAACTGGTTAGCTTAAAGCTGCACTATGTAAGATTTTTAGTTGAAGTTGAAGAAGTAGCATCACTAAAAATCACATTAAAATATGGTGCACATGGGCTGCTGTGAGTTACCCTTGTAGAACCCGAAATAATAATAATAATAATATTTTTTTAAATCAC